ATTGAAACAACATCAATGGCAGTGGCTTAATACTATTTTAATACCAAAGGCAAATACTTGGGTGTCAGGAACCAAGTAAACTTAGAAAGTGAATTACATAATATATACAGTAGAAAGCTAATTGTTCTGGTTTCCAGATTTTGAATGTCTATTGAAAATTTTAAATGGAGCCTATTGTGTATCAGTCAACTTAACAGTGTAGCTAATTTAACTATACATCTGTGCTCTCGTGGTATACTGTTTAAAGGTTGAGCTGCTAACTGAAATGTCAGCCATTTAAGGCACCTATCCACTCCAGAGGAGGTCTGTGGAGTAGTTATACTCCGCTCTATATGAGCACTATGAGTCCAGTTGATTCTAAGCTAATGAGTTTTGCAAATAAACTTCACATAAGACAAATCAGGTTCACTAATCCTGATAGTTTTACAATTTGGAAATCCATTCCAAATCATAGCAAGTCCATGTGTTTCAGAGTACAAGTGTTTCTTAGAATTGTTTCCGTAGTATATTTGCTAAAGCTTATCACAGAGGTTTTTCCCCCATTGAGTTATTGGGTGGATCTGAACTACCAATGTTTAATCAGGTAGTTGAGCGCTGTTGTTTGTGTCACATATGGAGCTGATATAGTTGTCTATTATTCTCTTGCACGTTTCTGTCAAAAGGGAAGTTAGGTTGAAGACAAATATATACATCATAGGCTGTCACTGCTTACAGAAATCCGATCTATTTTAAGGATAGACTTTTCTTCAGCATTTCATTAAATGATATTTTGCCTAAATAATTCTTAAACTTTTATTTACCTAGAAATTTACATTACATTCCGATGACCAACTAACATACAAAAGCATCTTAACATGGAAAAATATAATTGATTTCTCAATATTATTTTCATATTGTAAGGTTCAATACATAACATTAAATGACAATTCACAGCCCTTATTTAAGTTAATTTAAAGAAAGTATTCTATTACATAACATGAAGATTCACACCATTTCAGACTGTGAAAGAAAGAACACAAAAGAGAAACAAATGTAAATTTCTATTTCAGGGACTTTTCTTCTTTCTGATTATTGTGTATGTATTAAATAAATATAAGATGCTTGACAATGTTTCAAAGAATATAAATTTTGTTATTTATAATTACATAATGAAAATATTTCAGAGTTTATGTATTATAGTAGAACCCTGGTACTTGACCTCATCAGTACTTGACATAATTGGATTTCTATGCAAAATGTAGAGAAAATTTTGGATCGGACCTCAAACAAAACATTAGAATCTGACCCAACGCACATGAATTTTGTTAACAAAAGCAGTTCATGTTTCAGTCACTCACAATTAGTTGGCATTGTTAGTAGGCATTGTTTAAACCTGTTGCGACTGTGTTCCAAGCATTTTATTATAATTTTCTTAGTTTTTGTGGCTTTTTGTACTGTTTTTAGAAAAGAAACATGGGTCCTAAGAAAGTTTTTTGAAAAGACTCATCATGATAAGGAACTGGCAACCATGTTATCAATATTGTTGATGGTAATTTAATAAACCCTTTAAGAAAACAGTTAAGGAAACACTAACAGCAGAGCACATTAGACAGATACTCTTTTAGCGAAGGCCAGTCAGGTCCTAGTGAAAAAGGCAAAGAATGGGTGGAAAAATCCTCCTGAAAAGCAGCTACCAGTTAATTTGATGGAAGGGGATTCCCCTTCCACACAATGACTCTCTCTCCATCTCGCCTCTCCACCTCTGTGTCCACAGATCCAGATCCTCATCCGTCTCAAGGTTGGGGGCCATACTATAGTTATTAAAAACTTTTTGAATGCTGTGTTTCTTATTTAAATTATATTATCTAACAGCTTATTTACTTGGAAATTTCTGTATAATGTTTTGTATAAAAAGACAAGGTTAGGGTAAAAACTTGGTGGTCGAGAACGGATTAATGTGTTTTCAGTTATTATGGGAAAAATTAATTTGGAACTTGACTGCATCGCATTTCGATGCTCCTTCTAGAATGGATTAGCGATGTGGTCCGGGGTTCTACTGTACATGTGTAAATACAAAACAAATAAGTATATGTAATGAATATATCACTGAAATGAGCATAAAAAGATAAAAAAGTATTGCTACAAAAATTAGATAAACTTATATTAAACAAAACTATAATAATGTGAAAGCTACTATCGCAACATAACTTTTATCTAGGTTGATATACTTCGGAAGGTATGGAAAAAAGCTGTTTTCTCCTTCGGCAAATGGGATGGGACCACCACCTTCCACAGCTTCCTGGCCTGGGGGTGAAAGGTGATGGCTTAGCTATGGGAGCTGAGGAAGCAGTGGCTGGTCTGTCTCAACACATCAGATAAACGGACACTTACCTCCTATTCCCTGACTAAAGCTGCAGAAGGCAGTAGTCTGTTCCCAGCCTCATCCTCCCCTCCTGCCCATGAACAACTTGGCTGACATGTTAAGGCTTCCTTATAAACCTTTGTATTGCATACCATCCCTTTGTGTGTAAACCTGTCGTGTGTAGCAAGTTCTGTGCAGAGAAGGTATTTAAGCCTGTGCCTTGTTCAGTCCAGGGCCCTGGAGTGTCTATACTGCAGGGATACCCCACCCCCACACCCCCACCTCTGGAGCCCAAACTGTTCGCTACCACTTTTGTATATAAGTTTTCTCCTGTAGATTGTACCCTCTCAAACCCTTCTGTAATGTAAGTTAATAGTCAGTCTCTCCAGTCTCCTACATGAAGGTACTTTTTTATCTCTCCCACTCTGCCCTGAAGAATGTTTCCCAATTTGAATTACACATCAAATAGCAGTCTTGGCATCCTCCAGGGACACATTTTGTGTGTTCATTGAGTTTGGAAACAGGAAGAAGTTTAAAGTGGCCAAGTCAGGGCAAGAGGGCAGATGAGATAAGGTTCCCCAATGAATTCTCCTAGGACAGCCATGCTGCCCTGCAGGGAAGAATACGTGCATTGCCATAATGGGAACGTGGCTTGCTGTAAATTTCCTGTCCTTTTCCTCACCAATGCATGAGTCTTTTTAACAAAAGTCCTCATAATAATCCCTGTTATTGTCCTGTGCTTGCTGAGCAAAATATATTCAGATTATTCCTCCCTCAAGATAGATCAAAGATCTAAATGTAAACCCTATAAATAAAAAATTATCAGTGAAAAATTAGGGACAAAATTAGAGGCCTTAATACATGACCCTAACATGTTATTAAAGATAACTGACAACACTTAAATATCCAAAGACAAACTAGATGACTAGAACGCCCTAGAAATTACACCATCATGCGCATCAAGACAGCACACCACGAGAATAAAAGGAACACAGAGCAGAAAAAACATTTTTGGAAATGACAAACCAACAGAGATATTCAATTTATATTTTATTGAAGACTTAATGACCTCAACAAGAAAATAATAAATAATTCTATTTTAAAAAGGAAGATGGCATAAATAATCACCTCACTAAAGCAGACCATCGAACTTGAGGAAACGCTCATGGTCATTAGCTGTTAGAGAGAAGTAAATCAAAACCTCAGTGAGTTGTCATCTCACACCCGCATCAGTCGCAAACTTTTTAAAGAATAAAAACTTTAAAAAGTGCTGGAGAGGATACAGAGATACTGGAAGATTTATCTACTACTAATGGAATAGTAAAATGGTACAACCATTGTGGAAAATGGTATGATGTTTCCTCAAATTTTGGGTAAAGAAATACCAAATAACCCAGAAATCCTCTTCTTGGCGTATATCTTAAAGAAATAGAAGTCATGATGTGAATAGATGTGTTCACAACCATGTTCACCACAACACTGTTTGCAAGCCAAAAAGATGGAAACAACCTAAACGCCCATCACAGAAACAATTGATAAACACACTATGTGACATTCACACAATGGAGTATTCTAAAATGTTAAAGACTAATGATGAGTCTACAAAATATCTAATAACTTGAATGAACCTGGAGGATATTATGTTGAATGAAATTATATATCAAAGGACAAATACTGTATGAGACCATTAGTATAAAGGAAAAGGTTTTCACATTAAAAGAAGCTTTCTTTTATACTTATCAGGGGTGAGAAGAGAAAGATCAGCTACTTATTTAGAAAGTGGACCCATGTTAATTTGGGTGAAAGAAAGGGCAACAAAAATGATAGACAGAGGAAGACTGAGTTGAGTGCAAGGATTTCAGACAACAAAAGTAAATATTATATATACAATCCTAAAATATGAGTGATCTAGCAGATGTATGAATATGTATGGATGTATATAGATTTGCAGGCTGAATGAGTGTGGAAGGAAGAGTGGGAGTGTCTCTATGAATATATTTAGGTTTGGCAAAGAACATATGTGTGTGCATGATCATTTTTCTTTGCTGAAAATATATCTGTGGATATACTAGAGTTTATACCAGGCAAAATTATGAAAACTTCTTAGACACAAACAATTATCATAAGGGAGTGAGTAGCTGGGCCTGGGGGCTCAGGGTCATAGTTTCAGGGGACATAAAGGTCAACTAGCACAATATAGACCCCAGAGACAATGGTCTATATTCAACTTTGTTGAGTAGCTGACTGGGGTCCTAAAAGGTCAATAATAACCCAAGAGATCCTAAAAGCTGACTGGGGTACTAAAAAGTATGGCTATAGCCAGTTCCCCATTGGTGTTATGAGTGCCTTCCAACAGGAAGGACCCATATTCTGGTACTAAATCTGACAGTGCTGTATTGTTATCCATAAGATTTTCACTGGACTATTTATTAAAAGTTCATCACCAAGTCCTTCTTCCTATTTTCTCTTATCCTGAAAGGTCCTTTGAACGTTGTCTACCAAAAGTGACTCAGATGCTATTTGAAATACATATATTTATACATATATTACTTAATTCTAAACAATATCATATCTAATAAGAATTAGTTAATATTTTCCACAAGTAAAAAAAGTATTTTAAAATGTCTGTTAGGAATTCTAAATAAATGTATCCTATATTATACTTACCTGACAGGGAGATACCATGGTCATGAAGGTGATTTTCCCAGGGTGAGGCTTATCCATTGCACTCCGGATATGCGGACCCCTGCAATTTCCCCAGATGTGGGAAACTCGACTGCATAATTTTTGGTAGTGGGGAACTGCATTCATGCTCTCCCCTTAGGGGGAAAAATATTACCCTTTAGTTAGGATTCTTTATGTTTCTAATTCTTTATGTTCCTTAAGACTCTTAAAACAAAATTAAATATAACATTTAAATGATGTAAGTCAAATGTTGGAGTCATAGATAAAGAAGACACCACTGAATCCACCTCTAATTTTGTAAATAATTACTTGTAATGCCAGAACATTATGACCTGTTGGATTAAATGACTCCCCATTATTCAATGGATATTCATATAGTGGAAAAGACACTATAAGAAAGCATTATCAGATTAACACATATGTTAAAAGTTATCATTGTAATATAAAAATAGAATTGCTATTCTTTGTTTTCCTAATAAGATACTTCCAAACCTCCTAATTTGATATTACCAGGTTTTCTAATTCGCTGTTGCCTTATTACAACTTACAGTGTGTTTATGTCTTTTCCTTTGAAAGCTATTGTAGAGCAGGTGTCATGCCTGGAAAGGTGTCTCTGGAGAAGGGCAAGCATTTCCGTGTCCACCTGAGGGAGCTCAGTACATAACCACCCAGATGCTCACAATTTGTAAGCTGCTCCCTGGGTAAAAGTTAGGTACTTTGGCAATGCGTCAATGTGTTAATAAGTACTATTCTGATTCTAATTCTTCCATGTCATTAAGATATTATAGAGTAATAACTTCAGTGTGCCTGATCATGATCATGATCATCACCAAATAATGAGCCCACAAGTTCTTGGGGTCCATGTTAGGCATCATGAGACAGTCATTAACACCTTTGAAAATTGAGAATTAATTGAGAGTGATAAAAATGTAATGTTTTGTGCAAGTAACCTATTTGCTTCTATTTCTTAGTTAAATTTTAATATATTATTTAAACTCTGTTGTTTGCTTAGAAACATGTAAAAAATGAATTCCAGGATTTTTTAAAGCCCTATTTTATATTCAACTTTTTAAAATAGTATGTAATTTTTTTCAAGACATACTGTAATGGTTAGTCTACAACATATATTTTATAAAAGATTGTTTATGTATTTATGCATAGCTAGAGAGGTACGAAATTGCAGGAAAATGATGTGGCTCATTCATATAATATGTAATGTTTACAAAAACGATGGCTTTACTTCATAGTTACTGTATATGCTTCATAGCTCACATTCTATTATTTGTTATATAATGTTACAGAACATCCATGTCAGTTCATAAAATGGCACATCAAAAGCTTTGAACATCTAAGTATACACAGGCAGGTGTACCTCATTTTACAAAAGAAAAGGTATTATTTCAGCCATTCTCAAACACTAGCTTGAGGAGTGAGACTATATCTCTAATTATTTTTCATAATCCAAATGAACTATGACATGTTAGGCAAGTCTTCTTAACATAAAATATCATTTGGTGTGGAACTAAATTCATGTACGGAAATGCTGTGTGTTCGAGTAGCAGTGTGCACCATAGGACTTGTATAGACAGAACGCCTGGATATTCTTTCATGGCATCTCAGGCTGGGTTCAGACCTTCAATGTCCTAGATAGCAGCTTAGGATGGTAACACTGTGCATCACCTTAGTGCTCCCCTTTTAAACTTGGTGCTGATTATTTGTTGTCTTCTGTTTTTCTTGATTATGGATAATAGTATCTTGCATGGCTGACTCTTCTATTAGAATGTGACACTTTATTATGTCTTGTATTGAACACAATGTCTTCTCCTTAATAGAGGTTCATTGCTCTTATAAAAAACAAGACCATCACCATTATTAAGGATCTATGTATTATGGGCACTATGCAAAATATATGGGCTATTACAGTGAAATATTAATAGTCCCTGTCTTTCACATCATAAAATCTAGAATAAAAAGATGAATGATTATATTATGCTGGTAGATGTTGCAGCCATCTATTATGAATGTTCCGGAAGAAGAAGAAAAGAAAAAAACACCAACAGGGAGAAAAGAAGAAGGAATATAAGAATCAGTACTTTCACCAATAGGCAAGGATAGGAATAATTATGAGAACGGTATAGGATTAGACAGTATTTCGTTCTGTTGTACATAGGGTTGTGACGGGTTGGAGCTGACTCAATGACACTTGTGTTAGTCTGAGTAGACTAGAGAAACAAATTTATGGACACTCACATATGTATAAAAAAGAGCTTTATGTACAAGAGCAATTGAACACTGTGAAAACATCCCAGTCAAGTCTAGATCAAGTCTTTAAGTCTGATATTAATCCATATGTCTGATACCAATCTATAAAGTCCTCTTCAGACTCACGAAACACATGCAATGACACCAAATGCAGGAAGATCACAGGCCAGCAGGTGGAAGGTCATCTCAGCGCTGGCAGCGGTGACTACATGGCTCCTCCAGCTCAGGGCACTAGTGTAGCTCCATGTGTCTTTTCAACAGGAATGTCTTGCAGGGAGTGAGCTTGTGTCCCACCTCCAGTGAGCTATTTATCTCCTTAGCACCTCCAAATGAGGTCATCAAGCTGTGTCCTGATTGACAGGCTAAACTCCACCCCTTCACTCGTAAGTCACAAATTGATAACAGATTATATAACTACCACAGACCACCCCTTGTCAATTTGACACTTTCACACAACTCTTTCGCCAAATATAATTTTCAAACAAAGAATAATAAAATCATATTTGTACCTAACAAGATAAAACTAAAATGCATACAATTCAATATATGCCAACCCCATTTAAACATAACAATCTATAAATGAACAAAACAAAAATATCCTATGCTTAACAATTGCAATTATGTAACATCTACACTTTAATCCTATAATCCTATGACTATATTCTCCCATCTATGAAAGTTTGTAAGTCAGCCACTTCATTACTTTTTCCACCCCATTTTGGGTATCCGATTTCTGTATTTCCCACTTACATCAACCCAGTGCTCTGAGGAGACAATCATGTTCTTTTATGTGAAGAATCTTCATTCCAGTTGGAACCTTGTGAGTCTACATCCATAAGCCGAGTCAAATCAGAGAGGCCATCCATAAAGTTTGCAGCAATATGTACCAGTTCACAGGCTGAGATATCTTCATCTGCTTAGGTTCTGGTCAACTCAAGGTGGGCTGCCTCACTTAGCCTCACTAGGGTGCCCATTAGTTGCCTAGTCATTAGACCATGGACTCATCACAAATTCTCAATAACCCTAGCCCCTTGGGCTAGGTCATGAACTTCAGACCAGTCAACCCACTCTCATCTTGTCCTCTACTCCCTGTAAACCAGGTCCATGGGTGTCAGTGGCTAGACTCAACCCGTCTCTTTATTGGTGTATTTCTCTCACTTTCAATCAACAAGTGGATCCAGGCGGTCACCTAGCAAGCATTTAAGCCTGCCACAGACTCCCTTTAACCATTAAGTCCTAGAGCGGAGTTTTCTTCAGGGTTTCAGATTTTTCTTCCAACTTCTGACAAGAAACCACCAGTTAAAGATTCTAAAAGCCAAAGTTCCTTTTCCTTCAATCTGTCAATAACCCCCTAGGCTAGTCTCTTGGAATGCAAATGCCCTGAGTACTCCAAAGCACTGGATGGGGTTTATCCTCTCAGAAGCTCCCTTGCAGGCGAGTCCTATTCCATTTAAAGATTCAAATTTTAATGGCTGTAGGCAAGGCTTACAAACTCTATTTTCATACTTCCCAATAATCATTTCTATCAATCATTATATCAACAATAATAAGCAGAAGAAATCAGTAAAAACAAAGTAGAATCCGATATTAATCTCAATTCTTAAAACAGTAAAGTTCATTCCTTATTTGTCTTATCTTTATTCATATCTAAACTGTCCTATTGATACAAAATATGGGATTAGGCCTCTGACAACATCAGACCAGAGCAGACTTTCTGTCAGTCATTTGGACATTCTGTCAGCCATTTTCACTGAGCAGCTCTGAGAATTTCAACGTGTGATTTTGGCCCCTAAGCTCAAAATATACACTAATCACATTCATTTTATCCATTTAAAACAGGGATAACCAAAGACAACAACCAAAGAAAAGAATCAAACCTTTAACTTTCCATATTCTTTCCAGAAAATAACCCAGTAAACCACATGGACATATCTGACTTCTGGCTAGCCCAAGAAGAAACACCAACATGAGGCAAAAGTCAAAAAATTCACTTTCCATCGCTATCAATCTGTTTATCTACAATATTTATAAGTTTATTTAGTGTAGTCTGGATATAAGATTAATGTGTACAATTTTGCAGCCAACTCTAATAATTTGTGATAATATGCAAACTATAGATTTCAGAGGTGATTTTTTGTTTTATTATTACATTCCCTTTCTTTTGTAACCTAACCCAGGTATATTTTTAATAAATTCACAACTATATATTTTTAAATTGTTAGAAATAATACTGTAAAGAATAATTGAATATACCATATATTCAATACTGATGCCTCAGAAGATAATAGCGCAAAGAGTGGATGTGTAAATAACACAAGGGCCATATTTTGCTTCCTCTGGCTACAATAAAGGGAAAGAGAATCAATCTTTAAACTAGCCGAAGACCATTTGCCAAAAGGCCGAGGTCAGACATGCCTCTATCCTCCATCATTCTTTTTATCATCTGACATCGAGTGTTCCTACCGTAACACTCTCATTTTCCTCTGGATTGGATATCCATTATAATGGCCACACAGAACTTACAGAAAATACAACTACATGAGATCATTAGGAAGTTACAAGCCAAGATCAGAAAAAAGTAAAGACAAAGACTTTGTCCTCAGCAGTGCTTCTCCTCAGCCAGAAGCCAAGTCTCTTCCTCTGGTCCTCAGCCTCACAGCTATGTGGAGGCTTTGCCTCCAGTCTCCATAGGCTAGGACATGTGTGTGCCACTCTGCCTTAAGGTCTCTTATTATTCGTGCTACTCCTTGTCTCCTGGTCTCCTTGCCTTGGGTCTGGTCTCAGTACAGCTTAACCTCTATCTATCAAGTAGGAATGGATCTTGAGTATGCACTGGTGCTCTATGCTGCTTGGAATTCTCTCTGTTCTGGCTTCT